CTGTGATCCAAAAGGTCGAAAGGAGAAACGAGAAGATGTGAAGATGATGGGAGAAACACAGTGCCAGTTCCTACCAACTCACTACCCCAAATGTTACAACTCTTAGATTCTGAAGTGTAGAGACCACAACACCAAACAACCCCCCTTGAGTACTATCCTGCGAAACCAATCCTTAAATTTCTCACAACCACAAAATGTGGCAAGTGCCACAGATTTGGATTTGTTGAAGCAGAACACACAACTAAGGGAGAGATCTATTTCATTGAGCAGGGTGTTGTTGAAAAATTGGGCAATGTCACAGTTAATACGAGAGAAGTTGAAGACTAATGGGAGGATTCTCCACTTGTAGCTAGCACGTAAGAGACGTCACCAGTTTCAGTGGATCCCGAGATAGAGATTCCAGATCAGGTAACAGTAGCCATTTTGGAAGGTAGTGACCTTGAGCGTTCAAGCAGAGTATTAAACTGTGGTACCTCAACATACCGTTTCACAAGCGTTGAGAGAAGCTATAACAGGATTTACTTTGGCGGTCCAAAAGGATCACGAGCTTGAGGAACAGGGCCACCAAAAATACAAGAAATATTGAGATAGACTTCTTCTTGAGTTATCCCTACGGAGCAAATACAAGAAATACAATTTTTTTGAGATAGACTTCTTCTTGAGTTATCCCTACGGAGGGAGGTCCGACATGTCCGAAGATGAGTCATTTGCGCAATGTCGGGAATATCACGTTGAGTTATTCAGAAGCTATTTCTTGTTCCGCATGATACTTGTCAGGAGAGATGAACTTCAGCTTTGTAATGGGCTCGAGAAACTTGATTGGGATGAATATTCTGCAATGGGAACCAGTTCCTATATGTGGGGAAGTGGTCTCTCTTGAGGGGGTGCCAATGAGAATGACGCAGCCTGTCACAAATTTCATCCCAAAATTGAGTTCTCCTCACATACTTGTCGCTCAACCACCGCACGCTAAGCACGAGAAGTGGAAGGAGAAGATTTCAAATGTAAGAGCTCGAGAGTTGCATTACTGGAACCCCCTTTTATATGCATTACCTGCTCAAGATGTGCCAAAAGAGAATGACTACCTATTATGCCAGAATGTGTTGTGAAACGACTACACCGACATGATTGACATGCCAGAGGACTTACAGCTGTACCATGAGAATCCAGAAGCTTCGACGAATGAAGTTGAAGCTCCCCCGACCTCAGGAGAATGACACTGAAGTTTTTCCTCCCTCCTTTTCCCTCTTTCCTTTTTGTCTTTCTTCCTTTCCCTCATTTACTTTGCCCCTTTTCTTCCCTTTATTCGTTCTTAGCACATTCTTATTTTATTCACCCTTATTAATTCTAAATTTTAAGAGGAAGAGTTGTAAAATAAAGAATACTAGGAATCATTGCATTAGAATTAGATGAGGGCACTTAAAAGACACAGATACAATTATTTGTATGAGTAAACTTCAGGATTTCAAGATTTGGGATGTTCATGAAGAATCAAATTCTATGTGAGATAAATTAACAAACACTATTAAACAAGTGATAAAAGTTTTATTTGGAGAATAAAAAAAAAGTTTCTATAAAAAGATATAGTTCGTGGTGGAATAATAATATGCAAGAAAAGATAAAATATAAGAAGTTATATTATAAAAATTGTTTTAAATGTTAGGGCTTAGAAAATTGAGAAAAATATAAAATGATCTGTAGGGATTCTAAGATAATAATATGTGATGCTAAAAATCCGCTTTCAGTAGTTTTTATAATATAATAGATACTAAAGAGAGTTTTTAAATGTTAGAGTTTAGAAAATTGAGAAAAATATCAAATGATCTGTAGGGATTCTAAGATAACAATATGTGATGCTAAAAATCCGCTTTTAGTAGTTTTTATAATATAATAGATACTAAAGAGAGTGAAAAATATTTGTATAAATAGTTAAATAAAGATAAAAGAAAATTGAAGATTTAACTCAAGTAAAGTGTATTAAAGATGAAAATCAAAAAGTGTTTTTTTAGAAAAAGATATTCAACATAGGTGGATGAGCTGTTTTGATAAACTTTTTAATGAAGTTTCTGAAAATACGATCGACTTTTTTGATATTAATATCGTTAATAATGATAAAATGTTTCATTTTTACCGTCGTATTAGTAAAAAAAAAGTTGAGGAGGCTTCAAAGAAATCCAAGGGTGGAAAGTTTGTAGGACGTGATGATATCCGAAATGAAGTGTGGAAATATATAAGAGATTTTGTAGTTCTTGGCTTACTAATTTCTTTAATATTATTTTAAAAACTAAAAAGATACATGAAAAGTGGAGGAAGAGTATTTTGGTCCCCATTTTTAAGAATAATGGGGATACACAAGAGTGTGAAAATTATAGAGGAATTAAGTTGACGTGTCATACTTTAAAATTATGGGAGAGGGTAATAGAACATAGGTTAAGACGTATTACAAATATTTCTCATAATCAATTTGAATTTATGCCAGGCAGGTCTACTATGGAAGCTATACATTTATTGAGAGTTTCGAAGGAAAAGTTCAGAGAGAATAAGGAAAATTTACATATGATTTTTATTGATTTAGAAAAAGCTTATGATAAGGTTCCAAGAGATATCCTTTGGTGAGTTCTTGAGAAGAAAGGCGTTGATATGACTTATATTCAAGTCATTAAAAACATGTATACTAGAGGTGTTACTTGTGTTCGAATAGGAGGATTAACCAAATATTTTCCTATGTCAGTTGGATTAGATCAGGGATCAGCTTTAAGGCCATATATTTTTTGCTTTAGTTATGGATGCTCTTAGTGGACATTTACAGGAGGATGTACTATTGTGTATGATTTTCACTGATGATATCCTTCTCGTGGATAAGACTAAAGAGAAAGCTCAGGAAAAATTTGAATTATGAAGGTCTGCATTGGAGTCTAAAGGCCTTTATTTGAGTAGAGCTAAAACTAAATACATGAATGTTATTTTAGTAGTAGTAGCTCTAGTGACAGAGTTGTAACTATGGGTGGTTAAATTATTAAAAGTTGTGAATGTTTTAGGTTTCTCGGGATGGTGATATAGATGGGGATGTTATTAGTAGAATTCAAGTTGATTGGCTGAAGTGGAGGAATGCTTCGACCCTATTGTGTGATAGAAAAGTACCGCTTAGATTGAAAGGAAAATTTTTAAGTGGCGGTGAGATAAGTGGCAGTGAGACCTATAGTGCTTTATCGCGCTGAATGTTGGCCTTTAAAAGAGAAGCATAAAACTAAGTTAAGTGTTTCCAACATGAGAATGCTTAGGTGGTTGAGTGGCTTAACACTTAAAGACAAAATGCGAAATGAATATATACGTGATAGGGTTGGTGTAGCTCCAGTGACGTACAAAATTAGAGAGAGTCGTCTTAGATGGTATGGTTACATTAAACGTCGAGCATCTGATGATCCGATTAGAAGAGTAGATGTTTTAGATTTGACTTATGTTAAGAAAGACAGAGGTAGTCCTAAAAAGACTTGGGCATATTGTAAAAGAATGATCTTAATTTATTAGAATTAAATGAAAATATGACACTAAATAGGACGCAATGAAGAAAATGATTCATGTAGCCGACAACACTTAGTGAGATAAAGAATTGTTGCTGTTGTTATTCGCCTTTACGTAATCTGATTTTCCTTTCTTATTTTAAGTATTTCTGATTATAATTGATTCTTCTTTCTTATTTTAAGTATTGCCTTGTATAAGTCCTAACCCCTTTTATATATAGAGCCTGTTTTGCTTAGGGAAGGAGGTGATTTTTCAGATTTCAGTTTGTGTGGACAACAGTCGGCGTCTTGTTTTCCCTTTGAGGGTGTATCCGACTATTAGGGTGGCGTTCCGACTGTATTCGACTGTTAGGGTGGTGTTTCGGTTGTTTCCACTCCCCGATAGTGATTATATCTGGCTTCCTTTGCCCCGCAACTATTCCATCGCCGCCGCCATCCCTTCCTCTCACCACAGTCCCGCAAAACAACACCTTACGGTTCCTGCAACCATCCGCTATCTCCTCCCGCAACCTTTTCCTACATGTCTTCACTCCTTTTTCCCTTCCCCGAGTTCCCTGGCCGCATTCCTTCCCATTCCAACCCAACTCCAACGGCCCAACATTAGTCGCCCTTCACTCTATCCTTCCGTCACTACTAACAACCTCCACTGTAAGGCCTTGCACTCTCCCAGAATTGACAGCTTCTCCCGCAACTTCCTCAACCAACCTACAACCACCTCTCAACAGCCAACCTCCACTACAAACACAACTTCCCAGCCTTCGAACTCACAACACCAGCTGCCCTCCAAACCGCAGTTTTCTTCCCATCTCATTTTTTGAAGAGTCATTGTAATCTATTTCAATTTCAATAATAATATTTATGTTTCTTTTGTGGCTTGGGCTTCCTCCTCCGGTATCAGTACTATACTGACACAAATGTGCATTTGCATCACATGATAATAAGGTATGCTTGGTACTGGCTACTCTTGCAATGCACAAATGATTTACATGGTTCATTAGTATGTGTTAAATGGCTAGAATGAAGAAAGAACCAAATGCTATGTTTTAGTTTTTCCTGCCAGTGCGTGCAGGTTATTTTTGCATATGAAACTGGTGGATATAAAAAATGGGGCAAATTTACATAGACACAACTCTTTTGTATTTACATATCTGGCACCCAAACTTTCATATTTACATAATTCACGCTTTGGTGCTTTAAACCTATGCATGGAAATGTCTATTTCAATTTTAAAAAGTATTAATAGTGCTATTTTTGATGTGATAGTGAAGATTTGATGATAGCATGTTTGTTCTACTAGAGTGACATGATTCTACACGATGTGAATGGTTTATTTTTCTTTTTACTAATTTATTTTATAAAGAAATTTCTTTGTGAAGTTTATTAGTTTGTTTCTGTTGACATCGTATCTTTATGCATCGAGTACTTTTGGCAACTTGAATACATAACCTTTTGTTTATCTCACAATTTTTTTCTATGTAGTGGAATGGGTCCAGATTCCCGTGTCTTAGTTAGAAAAAGCCGAAAGCAAGCACAACAGTATTTCAGACTCTACAAAGTATTGTTTCACTTCCCATCTTTCTTTATTTGTTGTATTACAAAAAACCATCTCGAGTAATTTTTAGTTGTTTCATCCTTTCCTAGGCCAATCACATAAAATTTTCTAAATCAAATTGAAATTGACCAGGGAATGGTTGAAACAACTAAAATTTAGTTTTTTAATTGGGCTATTTTGTGTGATCCATATAATGAACTGGTTAGACATATCAGCTTCAGGTTAGGCAGCCCGTATGATAAATATATCGGGTTTATATTAAGTATATTCAGGTTAGGTGAATTTTGCGTTAGACTTGAACTCGACCAATCAACACTCCTATTATTTATTTCCGCATCTTAGTATATTTTTCGAGGAATGTTTAAATAATAGTTTATACTGGTTCATTTATTAGACAACTCACTGTAAATAGATGTTCCTTTATTTAATAATTGAGCCTTACTTGGTGATGTAGAATAACTTTGGCTGTATTTTGTGATCCTTGAGATTCAATGCACTTCCTGCTACTCCAGTATTCACTAGCTCTTATTTTCTGTGTTCCCTGTCTTCTTGTCCGTCCTTACCTGGTCCCCACTTTTTTATTTTGCTTTACACACTGTTCTCAGCTCTTTCACTGCTCACACTTCTTTTGTTGTTATTTCGGCTTCTTTGTCCTCATTTACTCATTAGTATTGCCTATTGCCACCTAATCGTAATATGTCTCCTTTTGTGCTTGTTGATCCTCTTTCTCCCTTTCCTGTCTCTACCGATCTTTGGTTTTTTTCAGTTCTATATTCAGTTATATTTTCTTGTATATTTTAGCATATCTTGGAGCAATTTGGGACTTGGACTTTAGTTATCAAGAATTGGACATTCTATGGAAAGTTTGATGTTGCTAGATATCATGAAAAGTGTATTGAAACTTGCTTTATTTTGATCCTTTATGAGTTATAAATAGGGACGCTGGCCTTGGCTTGGTTGAACCGGCCAAGGGGTTCAGCACTCAGCAAGGTGCTGAACCAACCGACTCTTTCATTTAGTATTGAAACTTGTTTTTTATGTTTTTATTGTGTATTTCATCCTAGGTTACATTAGTAACCCTAGGTCTGTTGTCATCTAAAACAAATTAAGATGATTAAACTTATATAATTGCATGTGATGGGAGACATAACTTAGGGACATTACAATGTTGATTGATAATTTGAATTACTTTTTTGAAGAATATCATTTCTTTTTACTTTTTTTGAGAAAGGTTAAAATTGTGGAAACAAAATTAGTAAAATTTACACACTTATTGGCATTGTGTTGTAGGCAAAGTAATATAAAAAAAGGCTGATGTGAGATGGATTTTAAAAAATATGTTGTGGAGAGCCTTAGCACGAATTTAATAATTACTTTAAGGGCTGTTGACTTGATAAATCTAGTGTGCTTGCATATTCTAGTGTTTGCCATATGGCTACTTCATTATCATCATGTTTTGTTAAATGTCTTTTTTAAGAGATTAGGATTGTCTTAAGCTACAATTTATCAAGAATTTTTAGCAGAAATTTTACTTGATTAATGAACATTGAGCATGTTATGAACGATTTATTAGTAATAAGAGTATAATACACCTATAATTAAATTATTAAAATTCCTTGGGAGGAACATATATACCGAACTTGTCTAACATGGTCCAATTTTAAAATCTTGTATGGCCAAATATGATGTTTATTAAAGTGACAGTAGTTCATGAATATCCTTTTGAAAATAAAATAGATAAATATTTACAATTATAGTTGGATTTTTTCTGATGATGTGGAGCCTAGATCTATAATTGCACTAGCACATATTCTTGAATCTATGTTATGTTTGAATTTGAGTTTATGTGCATATGCTGAATATGAATGTGCATTTATGAACTCCGACCATTACTTGAACAAGAATTGTTGAATTGAAATTTGAAGTTGAATTTAAGTTTAATTCCGAAGCTAGCATAGAACCTATGGTCATATCTAATCCTAAACTACGAAGCGGATTTTATTCTAATTTCAAATGTGATTTTGAATTATCATTGGAAATGGAATCTACTCTTGAACATGAAGTTAAATTTCATATTAAAATTTTATCTGAACTAAAATATGTATACAAACAAAATATGTCTGTTGAATGTGACAAGTCAGTTGAACTAGTGGCTCTTGAATGTGACAGATTAAATTATGGCTACTGAAGCTGATAAATTGATTAAAAGAGAATTAATTTAACTCTTGGTTTATCAATTGAATCTAAGTTAATTTTAGTTTTGGGTTCTGTTTTCATGAAGGGCAAATTCGTAGAGAGAGTTATGGATGAAATAAAATTGCGTCAATATTTCAACGAATTTTTTAATAACAAAAGTTATAAAGTGCTTGAGTTTTGAGATTTGGTCTGATCTGGATGTGGGTGATTGATCTCCACTAATTTTTAAGCCATTTTAAGAAGCTTTCGTGGAGGAGGTTGTTTGTTTATTTAGACATTTAACATGCATGCTTTGCATGTTTCAATTTTCTTTATCATCTTTTCATATAGCTCTGACTTATAAATCGTTATTAGTACTCCTTAGAATGCATATTATATTTTAATATTTTCATTACTTATTTTCTATCATTCGCATAATTTGCTTTAGTTGTGATTAGATTGGCATGAAAATATTAATTCATTACCACAATCATAAGTTTGTAGTAGATTTCTAAAAATAGACACGACCTTCCAAGAAATTAAGAGATATTTGGCCATATAAATTTTTTTAATGCAATCGGATCTATATTTATGAATTGGAACTTCTTGAAAATTTTGGTAGAATTTTAAACTTCGATGTATATAATTTAACTCTATTTTATGAACCTACTGCAAGTGCATAGATTTTTCTATCTTTCCGTCCCCTCACAACTTAACCTCCAACATCTTACTAGCTTTATTTATATCTTACCCACAATTTCATCTTCTTTTTCTACAACAAGTATTCTTTTTTATTTCTTTCCTTAAATACTTTTAATTTGTTCATTGATACTACTCTAGATCTTGCGCTCAAACTTTCTCGTAGTGTAAACTTTGCAATAGATTTTTTTCTCTTTCCTTAAAATGTAAAGAAATATATTTGTGATTTGAGAGCTTCACATTCACATGGAATTCTTGATCTTCCATTTATTGTTATCTGATATCAATGTCATCCACAATTTAATCGGATAAAGTTGGCATTCTTCTCAATTTTTTTTTTACTCATCCTCATTTTAGGCTATAAAGCCAATTTTTAATAAAAATCTCACCAATAATTGTTTTTGAAAATGATTCATTCTCGGTTCAAAATCATGAATTATCTTAATTTACAAAATTCTGTTATATTTGAAGTACAAATAAAGCTCTTTTAATGGTGTGAATTGAATGAGTGTAGGGTTGTAACAAGTTCTATGATGCATCTTGAGCTTACTTTTATGAGTTCAAGCCAACTCACGAACCGAATTGTTTATTTTGAAAGAGAGAATCGTATCAATTCAAGTTAGTGTTATAATAAAATGACATGTAAAATGAGCAAATAAAAAATAACTAAAAAGAAGTCACATGATACAAAATATAAAATATTACTTTTTAAATATATAAAATTTTGAAATTTAATATATTTTGAGTATATTTTGTATTATTTATTTTTTTAATTAGCCAACTCACGAGTTAACGAGCCGAATCGGGACTAGCTTATGCTTGGCTTGTTAGCTCATCGAGCTTAGGTCATGAGCCACTTATAGTGTCGAGCCCGAGCTGGCTCACAAGTCTTCTTGGCTCAGTTGCACTCCTATGAATGACTGTTTTAAATTGGGTTTTGCAGCTCATTGGAGCAATATTGGTTTCAGGGGTTCGGGATCGGTTTACGAGGCGTACTTAGTTCAGTGGTTCTGTTCAATGTATACTAAAACTTGACAGTATTTACTGAATTGAAAATGTAAGTTGCAGTCATAACGCTAAGAAGTTACAGCGAGTACAATGAAGAAAAAAACACCAAGGAGTTTAGCTTGTTTACACAAAAGGCCAAACTGATAGTCCACAACAAATAAACAGTTTAGTATCACTAGAAATATATATATATATTTTTTTGTTCATTTCACTTGTTAAGTGACTCGTACAAACCCAGTTTCGGCTTTATGTCAGACTAGTGCTGCATTCTACATATAGTACTGTTTCTTGTTGGAACATGATAAGCAATATATTTTCATGTTAATAAGCATTCGATTATGTCTACTTTGGTGCTTTTTTATGTATGTTATCATTGTAACTGTAGACATTTGGTAAAAAAGAAGGGCATTTGCATACATACCCGCCCAATTCCTTTATATATATCTATCACCTAAATTTTACTCTTTACATTTATATCTTCCAAATCATTCATATGTTAAAAATACCATTTTTTTTTTACTTATGAAAAGTGAAATACACCTTTTTCATGCATGTATAAGGTGGCATATATGTAAAAATTGACATTTTGGTCTTAGATATGTAAATACATAAGAACTGAGTGATATGTATGTAAATCTGCCTCTCCAAAAAAAAAATCCTAATCATTATGATCATAATATGTTTTTGTGGTTGCAGGAGGCAATTCCAGTCACACAACTAGTCAGGGAAACGGCTACCGTAATGCAGGAATTCACTCAGTCTGGGTAAAATACCTTGATATTACTTTTTGCACCTCTCTTATTGATTTGCATTTTATAAAAGCCTGGCTTGGCAAAACGCAGGATGCCATTTTAAAGAAAATGAAGATTTATTGTTTTGTAGGCATTAATTAAGAGAATAATACTATTCCAGAAATTACTGAAAATATTTATGAATATAAGTAGCTTTACAAAAATTTTTGGAATGTCTGTTTTTGGCACCAATAAATATCTTATCAGGTCTATATGGCTTTTCTTAGTCGTAACTGATAGGGTTGGCATTGTTCTGTGTTGTCCCAAACTATACACTGCTTGGAATCAAGCTGAACCAAATTGAATGCAAAAATCTCAGACTGAAACAAAACTATCTAATCGAGAAACAAAATTGATTAGCTTGCTTAGATTTTGATTTGGTCTTAAGCTTCATTGTTTGCTTCCAACTCCAGATTATAGACAAAATATGGAAAGATATTTTTAATGCCGAACACAACAAATTGCATATGGAAACAGTTTTTTTTGTAAGGCAAGTTGATGACGAAACTTCTCCTGCTTGGGCTAGGAAGGTTGGGTAATGTTGTGTGAGTCGTAGTTGTGTTGCTGCTTGGGGGGTGGGCGAGCAATTGGAGCTTGTGCTGTGTCAAAAGCTTGATAATATTAACAATTAAATATGTGAGTAGAGGATGATGCAACTTCAAATAATTTTTAGAGAAAAAGGAAAAGAAGAAAACTAAATAAAATTAAATATGACATGATGGAATAAGACAAGTAATCCTTAGCATACGATGAAAATTTGTGAATCTTGAGGGAAAATGTTTCTTTCTTAGTTCTTACACCTTTCAACAGACAATATTTCAAACTCTTATCCACTGGTGTTTCAATGTTATGAAGGCTCGCATCTAAATCATAAGGCTGCTTTTAAGAGTAGAGTATGGGCTAATAAAATACGAGGATCATGATCAATGTTCATGCTTGCAAATGATATGGTGCACATATCACTAAGATTATCAGGGGCAGAAATACTAGGTTCTACCTCAATAGGATGCACTAAAATTTTTTTGTGCCAAAAGAGTTGCAACCGTTATATCTGAAGATATTTGACCATTATATCTAAATCATAAGGCTGCTTTTGAGAGTAGATTGTGGGCTAATAAAATAGGAGGATCATGATCAATGTTCATGCTTGCAAATGATATGGTGCACATATCCCTAAGATTATCAGGGGCAGACATATTAGGTTCTACCTCAATAGGATGCTCTAAAGTTTTTTTGTGCCAAAGGAGTTGCAACCATGATATGATTTGATCATTTGTATGTTTTATTTCTGTTAGAAAGTTTGATTTCCTAAATACCATATAAGGCTTGAAATATATAGATTTTAGAGTAATTATTAGAAATTTTGTAATAAGAACGGTTGGAGGGTTTTCAAAATTTATCTTTTGCTAATAGCTACAGGATAAAGAACCAATTAACACTTTCCTATAAAGTGGAACAGTAACGTCTAAATCAACTATAACTCTAACCACAAATCTTCTAAAGTGACCTGTTGTAGCAATATGTATTTGCGAGGGTTTATCTAAATAGAGTCCATACAGTATAAAATGAAGCGGCTAAAGTATGCAAATAGAGTCGATGAAAAACTACTAGAACACGAATAGCTAGTGCTTTATTGAAATAGTCAAAGTGAGGAGATCATTTTAGCATGCGCATTGGATAATCACTGACCTAATAGAGCCTTCATGAAAAGAATCTAGTTGGTCTACTTCTAAAGAAAATTATATAATTATATGATCAGGGTGTAATTAGAGTCTAATTGAAAAGTTAGCAGTTAGTATAAATTTGACGTAAATTTACAAATAATTCCTAAATTAGGATGGCCAATAAAATTTTTCTATAACAGAAAAATAGTGAACTTCCAAGCTCTTTCAATAAAAATAAATGCAGATTTTCCTAGAAAAATAGTTGGTTGTACTAAATCCTGATTAATAAATAAAAAGAATTTTTTAGACGAATAGTTCTTAATTTTCAAGCCTTCAACCCTCCAACAACTTCAATGCAACATCTGTATTACAAGTATCAGAAGTAATGCCTTGTGCTATGTAAACAGGAGAAAGAGCCTTTGAGGAGACAGAGGTCATCGTTAAAGATGGCGGTGATGAAAGTGATCAAACATGGGTTGAGTTAATTCTAGCATCTAATTGGTGTAGGTGGAGATTAAGTTGGGATTATAGAGAAGCAATGTGAACGTCGACCAGATCTACGCGATATTTTCAATGCAAACAAATATTTTAACTACTTTGATTTTGAATTGGAAAATGATAAGTGATGCTTATAGAGGAGATTAATAACTTGTGAGTAAAATTGATGATTATACCATTTATGTTGATGATGACGAGCACAATGCACAAGGCTAGGATCAGGATGCCGATATTTGGAGGTGACGGTGATCAAAAGAAATGAGGTGGCCTGTCATAACTGCTAATGAGATCAGTGCAGCCAGAGGAGGCTATTTAAAGGGGTTAACTGACATGAAGAGAGGCCACATGGATGAGACCGAAGTGATCAATTGTCGTGCAGTGAGCAAAAGGTGAAAACAATGGGGCACATAATGATGCAGTGATGAGGCTTCTTGAGAACAAGCAAGGAAGCTTGTTGCGTCAATTGAACAAGTAAGGATTATTAGACATGACAAGCTCGGGATGCTGGATGGACGACAAGATATGATAGTGCAAAGAAAAATGGCTTGGACTTTATTAACATCCCTTTTGGCCCAACTTTAGGTTTAAACTTAATGGGATGATCCATATTATGATTGATTTTATTATGTAATTTGAGATTTAAGATGAATGCGGTGCATATGGGGATGGGATTCTGTAGGCCTCTTCTATGAGATCGAAAAGATTTTGAGAGTGTGAATTTATATTTTCCCTTATTCTTAAAACTTTCTGTCCTTGATAAGAATCAAGTATTCATCAAGTATTAAGTAGTAATTATTTTAAGCACTAGGAGGTTGAAAAAAGATCTGAAAATCTCATTTTGTTCCTTGAATCAAGGAGATAAGTTGAAGCTCCGTAAATTAAGTAAAGCTAATCGACGAAGATACTATAGAGCGAAAGAGAATGGTAGGAAAATTGAGGGAATTAGATGTGGGAAAACGAAGATCAAAGTGTACTAAAGGCGAACGACACATAAGAGTGTTTTTTTGAATTTCAACGTAGGAGAGATTAGGCAACATCACAATGCTGCCAGATTATGAATGCAGGATATGAAGAGTAGTCAATCGTCATCACTTGATGTTCCATTTGAATCTAGTTCTGTTGGAATTAATCTTTATAAACCATTTTCACAGGGCTTGTCCATTTCCTCTTCATAATATGTTCTTGCTGAATTGGCCATTCAAAACATTTTTCTTGGGCATCGTCACCTACTACCATATAGAGCTTCACTTGTTCTTTGTAGCCTTTTCTTATATATACCGCTATTCACCCATTCATCATCTTGCTCCTGTGGCAATTAGCGTCACTTGGTTGCAAGAAAATATTTGGAAGGAGAATTATGACTGGTTTACGAGGAATAAAATGATATCCTGGCATCTCGATACCACGTAAAAGTAGGACATTTATAATCATGTTAAATGGAATATTAATGTCATTTTTAGATTTGTTTATAACTTCATTTTTTAAAATTTTTTTATCTAAAGATGTCTGCAAAAGAAATGTATGACATTTAATAACATTAAATCACTTCGCAACAATAATTAACTAAAGAGTCCTTTATTTTCTTTTCCCTCCATTCTTTAAATAATTCTTAATTGATAGGGTGGAAAGACAAATATATAGTTGTACATATAAGCGGATGATAGGCTTTGTTTAGAGAACAAAATATTCTGCTTTTTAATTGGCAGTCAAAAACTTGAGAGCGGTAATAGGAAGAGAACGAATCTCGGGCATGGAGAGTCAGGCCATGTTGGAGCAATCACTGATTTTTATGAGCCCTGATCATGAGAGAATTTGCTCGTAATATTCTGTTTTTTTTCTTTTTTCCTTGATCAAGTGGCTTTTAGCTTCTTGATGGCGCACCAGCAATTGACAAGTATTATTTTACATTTCATTTTGACCTTTTTGTTAACGTTATTATTTTAATGCTTTATCGGAAGAAGGGCTTCCATGAAATTTTCCCTTTTACAGTGGCGTAAGGCCTTTTGGCGTTTCTTTGCTAGTTGCTGGATTTGATGACAGTGGTCCGCAGCTTTATCAGGTAACTATTTTTCAGTATTTTGCTTTTATTTTATGTGAAATTCTTAATACTTGTGTCAGCTAATAAATATGTTGAACTTAATATCAGCTTTCTAGACTGATCTTCTGCCTAATTTTTTGTATGGTCAAAGCATCTACGGATGCCATCTTTTGATTCTAATTCCTAAGGTTACACCCAAGGTTTAAAAAACCGGACCGAACCCACCGGTTCGACCGTGAACCGGCCGGTGGTCCGGTTCTGGGCAAGCTAAAAATCATTTATGCATCAGACCGGCTGTAATCGAACTGAACCGGTGGTTCAACCTGAGAACTGTCCACTTTTATATTTATTTATTATTTATATTATTATTTTTTGAGAAATTCATTGCCAAGGATTTGAAATTTTGAGATATGCAGAATTTTTTTTGGGAAACCCATTAAAAGCTAAATCTTCATTTTATAGAGATATGAAGAATTAAGGCAAAACTACCGATATAGAACTAAAGGTAGCTAAGAGAACTTCTATGTGGATTTTTAGGAATATTTACATGCATACCACCAAATCTTATTTATTTACATATCTAACACCTAAACTTGTATTTTCTATAAATCTTATTTACGTACATATCTAAGAACTAAACTTTTGTATTTTTTATAATTTTAGGATTATTTACATGTATACCACTCAAATCTTATTTATTTACATATCTAACACCTAAACTTGTATTTTTTATATGTTTAAGAATATTTACAAGCATACCACTCACATTTTACTTATTTACATATCTAACACCTAAAATTGTATTTTTTATAAATATATCACTTAAATAATTTTTAAAAATAAAATTCTTAGCATTTACATGCATACCACTCAAATCTTATTTATTTACATATCTAACACCTAAAATTTTATTATTTTATATTTATATGAATGTTTACATGAATACCACTCAAATCTTATTTATTTACATATCTAACACTTAAATTTGTATTTTTTTTATAAATATACCACTTAAATAATTTTAAAATAAAAAATTTTAGCATTTGTTTAATACATATAAAAAATTTATAAAAAAGATATATATAAATATTATTATTTAATTATTTAATTATTTCGAGTCAAACAAGCCGAACATGAACAAACAAATATTTATTTGTGTTTGGCTCGTTTATAAATTAATCAAAAAAATATTTATATTATTAATTTATTTTATTATTATTATATTATTTAGGTCATATTTAATTAATTTATATGTTTATTATGTCATCCTATTCAACCCTAGTCAAACTTAATTTTCACATTTCCTTCTTCCGATTTGATGTCTGGTTTCCGATTTTCACATCCTTGGGTACACCAATCGTCTAAATAGAGTTTAGCATGGGCTACTGGTTTGGAGTCTATAAAATGAAACAATTTAATTAAGCAAATTAGTGTTAGGAGCTGGATTAAGATTAAATTTAAGAGGGGGCAAAAATTTGTTATTTTTTTTAATTAAATGACATTTTTAAAATAATCTTATAAATTATTTTTTTATTTAAAATTTAGATATATAAAATGATTAATTAAGGAAAATTTAAGAATTTAGAGAAAATTAAGATTAATTATATAGATATTAATGCAATTAAGTTACTACATTGTTGTATTAACTAATGATTTATATTTAAAAATATATTTATGGATTAAACGATTTATTTCATGATTTTATAGTAAATTATTTTTTAAAGTTAAAAGTAAATTTATATAATTATGTAAATTTTAAAAAAAATAGTATTAAGTTATTGATATTAATGAAAATAAATTTTAATAAAATTATATCAGGTAATGATTTCTTTTTAAAATAAATATTTTGTTTAATTAATTTATTAATAATTTTATAATAAAATATTTTTTAATTTAAAAAATATAAATTTATGAAAAAAATTTGATTAAATTATATAGATAAGGAAAATACGAGATAAAATTATTTAAATATTAATGAAATTAGTTTAAACAATCTAAGTAAATTTTCATGGTTAGTAAATTTAAATTTTATAAAATAAAAGTTTTGAACAATATAAAATGTTTCAAAATAATTTCACACGACATTAAACTAGCAGTGTATACAAGATAGTAGAAATTTTAAATTTTGAATAATTTAAATGTATCTTTTTTGGCTTGGTTGAATAACACTCGGGGTATATCTTAATAGTGCTCGAAGTGGTTGTTCTCGTAAATGATGTTCATCTTCATGCTCTTCTATCTTCTCCCAAGTTATGTGACGACTGGAGTCTCTTGCGCATAAAATATTCTTCATTTGGCATCAGTTGACATATAGATTGGATGTCTACCGAAATCAGGTCACATATGAAACTATAAATTGAAGTGTCTGTCATCAGAATTTGTCTGATGTGGTGCATGAGATCTAGCCTTGTTTGATGTCGAAGGTCATGTATATGTTGAGGGACTATGATAAACATGCTCATATGTCACATCAATGACGGATATATGCAAAGTATCTATAAGAGACCTTCTCAGAGCATCTGCATTTAATATTTCTGGGATGCTAGCTGGTGACTTTTGTGCAATATCAGAACTTGATCTACGGGAAGCACACCTATTGGTTGGTCGAACGCGCTATGATTAATATAGAATGATTGATTTACTCTGTTAGAAAGCTCCATGATTGTATTTTGACCTTGTTGCATAACACTTGACATTTTTATTACACCCACTCGTGAATCTCCTAGCAATGTTGTACCTGAATAAATTAATAATTAATTATATCAAGATGAGGTTTGAGAAAAAAAATAAATTTAATATAAAATTATATGCATGCCATTAATCTCTTTCCAATTGATTTAGGATAGTAAATATCTAGTGGTTGACTATATTACCTCAATAGGTAGTTTGACAATTATGATCCATATCACTGCAAGTAATCTGTTAGTTATGCTCTTTGATCTTCTGAATTTGGGTTCAATGGTACTATGAGGGTCTAATAGTTGTTCCATAACTGATTGTAATTTTGGTAATAATGCATGCAGTCTATGTCTAATTTCAGTCGGCCATCGGCCCTCTAAACTGATTGATCTATAGATTTGAACTATTATGGATTGTATATAAGTATAATGTCGCATTAATCGATCTAGAAGATGTCAATCAATACACTTTCAGCTAATAAGAGGAACATGAGTTGTTCATATGTTTATACTCTTAAGACAAATCTTAGGCAACCACACAATAATATTATCAAGATATGGTGCCCAAATAACATGCATGTAAAAATTTTTGATTTCTTATAAAGTATATAAATGCTACATAATAAAAAAAAAGATAATTAATACAAATAAAAGATACCTGACCTTGCCTTAATTCATCAATCTTGTCTCTATACATTTGTAGATTTTTTATGGGCATTTTTTGTACTTTGTCCTCAATTCATCTGGAAATTATGGAGGATATTATTATGATATTTTATGGTACATATTCAAAATGTATTACTTTATATGAAATTTACTTAAATCCTAATGACTTGTGCGATAAATCCTTAGGAGTAGGAATATTGAAAGTTGGTTTGTCCATATGCAAATGCTTCCAGCATCATACTTTTAGCAAGTGCAAACATCCTATTATATTAACATAAGCAGATTTTATGGATAAATTTAACTTTCTATACAAATGTATTAGCAAAGAGCCTCCCAGTAAGTACCGTGCAAATATAACTAAATTCTCAAATAATGATAAATATTGTAAATGTATATGAGACACTACTGTATTTGGAAGTTAGAAATAACCTAACATATACAAAATGTATGTCATGACATTCTAAAAAAATGTGTTAGGGTAATCCCTTATAAGAATCTCTGTAAAAACTTCATCAAAGTCTTCAAAGAGATATAATAGTATGAGATTGGGAGTGAGTCATATGAAAGTTTGCCACAACATCTTTAGGTTGATTGACTTCCACATCTATGTTTGGATGATTGCCTAATAAATCATCGAAACATTATGTCAACTTGACCAACACAACTCGGGGCCAACAACTATAGGGTTAATAAAGACATCACCATACCTCCTAATGCCAAGAATAATCTGTACGTCTTGGAGCTTGATAGTCATTTCTCTTATAAAATAATAAATTTTGTTATATGATTAACTATAAATATCAATAATATGTATTGTTAATAGGTACTCATTTTACGAATATATAAATGAAAAATATTAGCCAAATGATTCCATCGCTCTACCATTGTAGTTATCAAGAGATAGTCTAACCTGATAAACTGGAAGGGTAATAAAATCGATGTCTGCAATTTGTAATGCTTGAAAAAAACGTGGGCACTAGACATGTCACTCACTGGATCTTTATACATGACTAGCATTCTCAAGTATCGCCCTATACAGAAGATTTATAAAATTATGATATTATTATATTTATATTTCAATTTTATTAAGAAGTTATATATACATTACCAGATCAGGATTTGATGCTCTTATTAAATCCTCCTAATGAGGCTATGTTAGGAGGTGCTTCTACTTGTGATAAGTCAAGTTTTTTTGGGGTCGAAAGACATGTAACATTGCAATAGACTTTCCTACATTTGGCCTCAGCCATTCCTATATATTAATGAGAGAAAATCGTAAGTTTTATAAAAAAAAATATATGTTGAATAATAGTTCATCTGAAATACATGTTTGATTTTGGGTTATTGGGGCTCGTCGAACTATTGTGACCACTATTCTTACAAATACTACATACCCATGTGTTTGTTATTCTAGTCTCGTTCATTATATTTCTAATTCTACTAGCTTTTGCTCTATCACAACTATAGAGATGGGAGGAAATGTATGATACATTGTTGATGACTATATGGTGGTCATACCTCCTTGTGTTTCACATGAAATAACAACTTGTAAGTCTATCTAAAAAATTCTATCTTGAAATATTTTGAGATGAAAGTTCTATGGTCTAAATTTCTAGTTCCCAAAGTTGCAATTAAATGCACGATTCAAACATGATATATTTTTTTGGCTTCTTAAATGCACACGAACACTCTTCTGATAAGATAATATAAACCAAAAATAACCTGCAATTCATATAAAAAACTCGATACTTATTTAAATTGATACAGATTAATCATAAAAAAATCGAGCTTCACGTTCAAATCTTTGCAAAGTCATTCTTATACGGGAAATAAATATTGTATTTCAATTTATTGTGATACATTTCTGGAACGTATCAGAAGTAATGTAACTAAATTGTAATAAATTGAACATATTTGATCTTAGATCGGGAGGCATGGGGCACTTCTTGGAACCAATTAAAATATTCACATACATTTGTAGCTATAGTGTCAAATCTATATCCCCATCATGTCATTTTCTACTAAATAATCAAACACATCTTTTAAATGTTCTCTATTCTAGTCACATGCTCGCACATTCTTTATTAGTGTCTTTTGCATAATATGTTTTATCACAAACGATATCAACATCAACAATGGTGAGAGGACATAATTTCTTCTTAAATTTTTCTCATAAATGTCACAAATAATATCTATTTGCAGCCCGATGAAAGATCTCTCTACATTGTCAAAGTAGGTTTGATTGCTTATTTGATATTATACATATGTTTTCATGGGCTTGAACTGACTCAATTAAACTATGTAGTTGTTATAGAAATCATGGGCTTGAACTGTGAATATGAGAGGGAAGAGGCCGTTATTTTAATAAATACATGCGACAACTTATATAGTTTTGTTTTATTTTTCAAATGGAATGTCCTATCAATACTAAATATTTGTTTGACAAAATCTCCATCCATGTATGCTTGGGTCGAATGTCTAGAAAATTTCATGAAAACGTGTATTGTTACTATTTTGTATCTCGTAGACAAATCCATATATCACTTTATGTATAACTTTCATCAAATGAAATAATGGACAATATTATAACTCAACTCTCAAAAATTAATTTTATTGTCTATTTTCGTGCGTCTCAAGCTTTAATGTATGTAATACACATATTAAATTTAGATTTCATTCATGCAACAATTTCTTTTGGTTTCAAGTCGAGTTGCCATAAAATGTAACCTATGTAGTGATAAATAAATCTTGAGTTGCAATTTTGATTCCAGCTTTTCATAAATAGACGGGTACATGTATGTGATTGTGCAACTTAATAAATCTTCCATTCTCCTCTTATGCTGCTGTATTTTGAAGTATATTGTGATTGTGCAACTTAATAAATCTTTCATTCTCCTCTTATGCTGCTGTATTTTGAAGTATATAATTGCCAATGACAAGAGTGTGTTGAGTGATTCCTTTGCACACATTATACAGTGAGTCTTTTTTTATTTGATGAGGTCTTTCAATACTCAACAAGTTTAATAGTTGACTAGTCATTTAATACACATTGTAGTGGCTATTTACTAGAAAATATTATAACATGAATAGGTTTGTTTGGAATTATATATTCTTCAGGTATATATAATTATGCAGACAGAGCATCACAATTGCTAACTGCATTCCACTCCTCAGTCGTGTAAATTTAATACACATATTCATTATCATCCACCATCGAGTTAAGGATACTTGCATTCAATATTGATTGTTGTAATTTAGCATGCCATAACAACATCATATTAGTACCTTCTCGTGCACCGTGCTCATCACCTGCTTCTGTTCCATTTGAGATTTCATTCGTGTCGCTATCCATAGTTTGATGTTCACTATTGTTAGCATCTATTCATGCTTCAATAATTAATTCTCGTACGAATGACTCTATATTTCTATTAATATAAAGTTGACATAAATGTGATAAATTGAAAGTTTGAAGGGCAATATAATCAACCATTGTTTGCTGGAGCATTCAATATCATATGTGCTTACTTTTTGTGGACTGAGCTTGTTTGTTTAATAAGTTATAAATTATTTAACATCTTAATATCTAATTAATAAACTATAGCTAATGTATATATAGTTTACAAACCTGAAAATTTTTATCACCCTTTTGGGTTGCTCTATAGGCTGATGTAACGCAAAATCATTATTGATGTCCATAGTGGGTTGGGTCGCAATCACAACCTTCACTTAAAGTACTATTATGTGTTTAGTAGCTTCTAAGAGGATAAATTCACACAACACATCATCATCAATAAGAGTTGCAATAAGTTCACTCACTGGAAGCGAAAAATCAAACTATGGTATGTGTTAAACTATTGTTTCATAATAGACATAATATTGTTCTCTTTAGTTCATTTAATGTTATCATTGTGATATTTGGATTGACCAATTTTTCTGCTAATATGAATCGGGGTGAAATTATCCGTGACTCGCAATTCTCCATCGATTCACACTTGTAAATGAGACATCTTATTATTCATATTATAACAGAAATTATAATATTGTAGTTGACGTTAATTACATTTTGCATAACATTTCAATAAATAAACGTGAGCACAATTATAGTAGATTTTAGTACAAAAATGATTACGTTTAGTAATAATGCATTTCAAGTATATTTCTCTAACATCTTTTTAATATGAAATATAAATGAATTAATGCAAATGCTTGATCTTCACTTGTATCTATTTAGTAAGATTCACAATATACTACCTAGTTTTTAGGTGCTCTTCTATGAAAATCTTAGTTACAATTTTTAAATCATCACTTTCATATATGTGTTTTATAATCTTTTTAATGGAGTGATAAATATTGTATTGAAAGCTGAATTATAGGTCATAGGTAACGTTGAAGATGTAAATGATATTTTTAAAGATTAAAATCTTAAAACTAAAAAGATTTGTTATAAATCTTACTAAAGATTTATAAATAAAAAAACATATATTTACTATTCGATTAGATTTAGACAGATAAGTAATAAAAATAAATTCATAATGATTAGAGGTCCGGTAATCATTTGCCTCCTATGTTATTATTGTTATAGCTCGCGTCCCTTTTTGCTTTTTCAAATCAGATTGATTGGGAGGAGGGGATGTTGCACGCCACCACTCGAGGGATATGACATGCCACTCAATATGTTGCTTCAGTTGTCATTTTATGTCGCTCATTCGATCTCCAAGAAAGTTTATCTTTCGTCCGACCGCAGTTGCCTCGTTCTGCAACCCTTGGACCATGTCAGAGAAGTGGCAATGGCAAAGGACACAGCGAACAATTTTTCTCTAATGTGATCTAAGGGCTGCAAGATGCGCTTGGAGTTCAAATGATGAATAACAACTGGAGCAAAATGTTGAGTGACACGCCAGGACCAACGAGTGGCTGTGAGGGTCAACCCTGCTTCCTCTCAATCAATTTGATTTAGAGGCAGAACCGAGCAGAGCGATGAAGAGCAATGCAATTGATGACAATAGTAACACAAGGGACATATTATAGAACATATAATCGTTATAACTGCATTTCTTTTTACGTATATGCCTAGATGCTATCCGAATAGTAAATAATTTATTATAAAATCATAAAAATAACATTTATTTAAAATAAATTTTTTTAATAAAATGTTAGTCATATCCACGTTTTATATAAAAAAAGTTATTTTGTAATGTAAAATGTTGATATAACCCACATTTTTACCCCCTCTTAAATTTAATTTTTATCCAGCTTCTAATACTAATTTACTTTATTAATTGGCTTCTTTTTATAAATTGTCCTCCATATTTTTTAAATTTAATTTGTGATTCTTTTTTGTATGAATGTGCAGTTTCTTTTCAGTATCTCCATTCTATTGTTACATTTAATTGCATGCATTGACGAACACCATTGAAATTTGATTAATTTCAAGGGTTTTTTACATTTTTTATTGTTGCAGGTTGATCCTTCTGGATCATACTTTTCATGGAAAGCTTCTGCTATGGGTAAAAATGTTTCAAATGCAAAGACATTCCTTGAGAAGAGGTAACTCATGCTAAATGGAGATATATTTCATGTTTGTTTTAGTTAAAGTGTGATGTAATTTCTTTCAAATTTTGTTTACTACAACTTTTTTGCTATATCTTTTGATTGTTTAGTTGAATTCTTATCTTCTGGCTTGTATTTTAGGTTTAAAAACTGCTTTAAAATCTGCTCATGTCTACTCAAAAGTTTCTCTTCTGGCTTGTTTCAGCTCTGCTTTCCTGAAAGTTGCCATAATTCAATTGGGCTATAATTTCGTTGTTGTTTTTTAGAAATTTTTTTGTCAGAACTCTTTACAATCAAATCTACTTGAGTGTAGTGGTTGTAAGAAAGTTGTTGTCCAATTAATATTAAAGGAAAAGTTTATAATACTCACAACAGTTTCCGAAAAAATTACTTTCCCGGAATCAATTCTACTACTATTTTTATGAACATTTGATTCCATCCCAAACAAACCCTCCATATTTACTTGCCTTTGGCCAAATTTGTCTTTTAATGATATGAAACTCTTTCTTTTCATGCTTGTTTTTTTTGTTCATTGATTCATTGGTTGTTTGGCATATATAAATCTAGTATTTGGAGGCCAACTTTGATGTATATATTTACTTTTCTTAGATCTAAATGCATGGAAGTTAGAGTTTGTTGATGTTCGGCCCTAATTTGATATGGTGTAATAATGGTTGATTTTTGGAAAAGTTCATAACTTTGTTGAATTCGCATAATTTGTTAATCGACTAAATTCATCTCAATTCTATTCGATTAAATTACCTTAATGAGATTTATAAGTGGGTAAACAAAGTGCTATGTTCAAATTCTCTTATTAACCACTATATAATCTTCACCTGAGTTATTTTCTACATTTTTTTCATTATATTTTTTAACTTGTGCACACACTCATAATTGATAGACTTTAAACTCAAGATTTTGTGATTAGAGGCAAAGCACCCAATCACTAGGTCAAATGATCTGCACAAAGTTATTTTTTACACTTAAAGACATTAAACTTTATTTTGTAATAGACGAAATTTTGATTATTTTTGCAATAATAAGATCAAATGATTTTGTTTTTCACATCATTTTTGTTATTAGTTTGAACTATAATGTATCATTATTTCTTGCAATTATCTCACTCTTTATAACAAATCAAAACTTATTTTTATAAGTTCTTGCTCCAAATAATGAACTTAAAAAGCAAACCTCTTAGTGATTGGTAATGATAAAAGACTCACCACTTTACAAATTGAATAAGATGAAGTACAAATATACTGATGACTAATCTGGCTCCATTGAAACAAAAGATAGAATTATGTCTATATTAATGTATGGTAAAAGAGTTGTCAAAAAAGCTTGATGCTCATGAACAACTTGTGTTCAGCTTGCTAGGAAGCTCATGTTCAGTTCGTTTGATATGCAAATGAGTCGAACACGAACATTTTTTTGAGCTCGGTTTATAAACAAGTTGAACACAAACAAAACTGTATTCAATCATCTTTGGCTCATTAATTTTCAAAGTAGAAAAGTTAATTTAAAATTATTATATATAAATAATTAAAAGTATATAATAACAATAATTATAAATTTATTAATTTAAGAAAAAATGTAAACTAAAAAATTTTAAAAATAAATATTTTCATTAAAATTCCTAATTCTAATTTACAATTCCTCTTAATAATTTTCATTCCTTTCGACTATATCCTATTTCACAAATTGCCCTGTACCGCATTTTCATTTTGAGTTGGCTCTTGGGAGAAGCTGCAAGTGAAAGACTCTCATTCTTCGAGTTATAATTTTTGCTTTGTTGCCGATGGCGTGAGTTTCTTCGTCTCTTTTGTAAAGAAGTAGTTGTCTTATTCTCTCTTGCTTGTGGCTTGTGAGTCGTGACTCACTTATGTGAGTTTTTTTTTTCTAATTGGAAATTGAAATCTCTCCTCTCATGTAGTTGTTCTTATGACGGATCCTTGGCTAGTCCCTCTCTTGTCTTTCATTTTATTATTTAAGAAGATTCTATCTCCATTTGGGGCGCGAATGTTGAGTGTGATTCGTTTGTTCTTTGGTTGGGGTTTGGTATTTCAGTATGCCGGTTGCAGGAAGATTTGGGTTTATGATGGTGATGCTATATTTTATGAATATTTGTTTCAGTTTGGTTGTTTAAGTTGTTGCATCATTTTCAGTTTCTTTTATTAGCTTAAGCTTAATATGCTTTAGTTTTGTTTATGACAATAATGTTGTGTATCACAATTTTTTGTTATGTTTTAGGTACTTGATCTATTTCATTTGTACTTAGAAGTCAAATCGGTTCACTTTTGTTGGTGGATTTGTTTCATTAAGATGATTAGTTCAGTTATGCATTTATTGAATTTCAGTTTGTGTGATATTATGTTTTATCCGTTTGGGTGTAGTTCGGCTCAGATCCATTCAATTTTATATGCAGGTCATAAGTGCTCATATCTTGATTATTTTCTTTGGTCTATTTTAGATGGAGGCATACATAATACATATAACATATTCAAATATATACATATAGATGGTCATGTTGGTGAATGTCTTCTTGAGATGTTTTATCATAGTTTACATTTACATGAATTTTATCATTATTGTACATTCTTGATTATTTTCTTTGGTCTATTTTAGCCTTAAGAGGTATATATAATACATATAACATATTAACATATATGCATATAGATGTCACCAGGTTGGTGAATTTTGTGGTTTTATGATAGTTTACAATGACATAAATTTCTTTTAATTTTTTTCGGAAATGGGAAGACATTTTTATTTTATGTTTAGCTATATGTGAAACTTAACATTGTATAATTTTATATCTTCTCATGTGAAGCTTAGGCGCCCGCATAAATGACATATCATATAGTATTTTATTTTATGTTTAGTTATTTGCAATGAATAATTTTAATCTACATTAGCCAGTGAACAATTATCGGTCGTCATACAAGATGAAAATGATTGTACTCATAATTTTTCTCAATCTGTTGAAGTGGTTGATGAAAGTACTAGTATTGTCATACAAGCTAAGAAAGATATGAAGAGAAAAATCAATTGTATGAGAGTACTTTGTGGATGTTAAATCAAATTCTAAGGGGTCGAAGTTTCTTTTATCCAATGTATTTGTTGTGAGGTAAAAATCCACAATTAAAAAATAAACGCAATTTCACAGCTTCTTAGGCACATTTAAGATTGTGATAAGAAAAAAACAAAGAGTCAACAACTTATTGAATTATTAAATAAAAAATAAGATGTTCAAATTCTTTTCTTTTGAAGTTGATACCGACTTAGAGTTTCCTATATTCTATAATAAAAATTATGATTAACAACTCATAAGAGAGGTAATTATCAAGATGATAGTTGTACATAAATATTCATTTATGATAATTTAACATGTTTCTTTTAATATATTGTTAAAAATATTGAATCTAAAATTTAAGACTTTCAAAGTACACCATAGAAATTGATTGCATGAAATTCTATGTGTGTGAAAAAAAAAACTTAAACATTGTCTTAAAAATTTTCATAGGATGTCACTAACTGCAGATTGTTGGATCTCTAATTAAATTATAGGATATATGTGCTTAATTGTTCATTATATCGATGAAACTTGGAAGTTAAGTAAAATAATTATCAATTTTACTGAGGTAAAGCCTTCACATACCAATATTTACATGTGTGATGCTATTTGTGAATGTTTGTTGGAGTGGAAGCTTCAATACAAAGTTTCTATATTTACTTTGGATAATGTAAGTAGTAATGATATAACGACTAAATAATTAAAAACAAATTTTCCATCACGGGAAAGCTGCTCTTTTGTAGGTTTTTTTCATGTGAGATATTGCAGAAATATCCTCAATATAATGGTCCAAGATGGACTAAACGAAGTTCGAGAAATTATTTAAAATAGTTGAGTTATTAAAGTATTTGAAAAATCTTTTGTGATATCACATAAGTTTATCAAAGTAGCTAAACAATTATGAGTTCCAACTACAAGGTCTTTATTTATTGATGTTTCTCAAGTAAAACTCAACTTCGAACATATTGGATTCTGTAGTTATTTATTCAATGTTTTTCATCCATATGCAATTAGAGATAGTAACTATCAATGATTGTCAGATAATTCAAATTGGTTGAAATATGAGAAAATTAGAAATTTTTTTTCAATTTTGAATACTGTTATGAAAATAATCTCTGTTACTCTCTATCGTACTTCATATATACTTTTACCTGTAGTTATATTTGTTAAGAAGATTCTAATATAAGAGTCAATGTCAGAAGATGATTATATGAGCAATATGACTTTCAGTATACAAAAATTTCAACAAATATTTTGGGAAATATAATATTCTAATGTTTATTATAACAATTTTAGATTCTAGAATGAAACTCAAATTTATTTGTTTTGCATTTTCGAAGATTTTTTCGTATGATGGGGTTGATATTAATCTTAAACTAGCTTAAAATATTTTATGCGAAATATATGCAAAACTATGTTGTTGATTGCATATCTCCTAGTCGTACAAGTAATGTTTCAAATGAGACATCTTCGTTTGCAGTTGATCTTATGATTTCCCTTTATCATTTTGATATGTTTTGATTTAAAAATTTTGTAGTAGTTTCTGGATTTATGGAACCATCCAAGCCTGATTTACTAGTTTATCTTAAGGAGAGATTATTTGTGTGCACGAGTGAGAGTTTGATGTGTTTGGCTGTTGGAAGATGAATACACTAAAATATCCTCTATTTTCTAATATGACTCAAAATATTTTATAAATACCTATAATTAAAATTGTCTTGGAATTTGCTTTTAGTGATGGGAACGGCTCGTGTTCGGCTCGTTCAACAATTTTAGTGGATAAAGTGTTTCTACAATCATCCAACACTCTGCAACCAACACTAAAAACAGATTCTGAGGCAATTGTAGTAAATGGTTTTGATAAAATTTCTCGAGCCACAATAGAAAGCCGATAATACTTTAGTGTATTTATTTTCTACCAATC